TTGAGACACAATGCCACTTTCAGTTTTCTAGTGGTTAAAGGAAATAAGGGTCTCATGGATTTTCCTGCCCTGGCTGACTTTGAACCGAGATCCTCAGATCTTACCCTCCTGACTAGCTAGGATTACAGGTGTGAGCAACAAACACCCAGTTCATCATTTCTTTTGGTCTCAAATTGCTCTAGCAAGTTTGTTTATTTATGCCAGTCCTAGGGCTTGAACTCAGGACCTGGGTGCTCTCCCTGAACTTTTTACTCAAGGCTAGCACTCTACTGTTTGAGGCAGCTCCACTTTGGCTTTTGGTTAGTTAATTGGATATAAATGTTTCATGGACTTTCCTGTCTAGGATGGCTTTGAACCATGAGTATCAGATCTCAGCCTCCTGAATAGCTAGGATTATAGATGTGAGCCAGTGGTGCCAGTAAGGATGTTCTTGTGTCTTTACTTTTCCTACTATGTAGTGCAGGGAATGAACCCCACAGCCTTATTCCATCAATGAGCTACATCCTCAGCCCAAAGTAATTATTTACAGATTCTAAGTTATACTAATCATATTTGATTTATGCTGTTTCCATGCTTAGCTTCCCCTTTCTTTCAACTTTATTATTGGAAAACAACAACAACTTTATTATTGGAGTTCTTTTTTTTTTTTTTTTTTTTTTTTTGGGTCCGGTCGCGGGGCCTGAACTCTGGGCCTGGGTGCTGTCCCTCAGCTCTTCAGCTCAAGGCTAGCGCTCTACCACTTGAGCCACAGCGCCACTTCCGGCTTTTTTCTTTTTGCTTATGTGGTGCTGAGGAATTGAACCCAGGGCCTCTGGCATGCAAAGTAAGCGCTCTACCACTGAGCCACCTTCCCAGCCCTGGGTTTCTTATTGATTAAATGCATATATACCTTTTCTGATGAAAGTTTGTGGTATTTCATTTTAATACAGAAGTATTTTTTAAACAATCATTTTATTGTAGTTGATTTTTAAAATACATTTTATTGTTAAGGCGGTCTTCAGAGGGGTTACCGTTTCAACAGTCAAGCAATGAATACATATCATTTTGGACAATGTCACCCCTTCCTTTGCTTTTCCTGTTACCCCTTTGGTTAAGTTTTTGTTGTTGTTGTTGGTTGTGGGGCTTGAACTCTGGGCCTGAGCGATGTCCCTCAGCTCTTCAGCTCAAGGCTAGTGCTCTACCACTTGAGCTACAGCACCACTTCTGGTTTTTTGGTGGTTTATTGGAGATAAGAGTTTCACAAATGGGCTGGGAAGTTGGCTCAGTGGTAGAGTGCTTGCCTTGCATGCCTGAGGCCCTGGGTTCGATTCCTCAGCACCACATAAGCAAAAAGAAAAAAGCCGGAAGTGGCGCTGTGGCTCAAGTGGTAGAGCGCTAGCCTTGAGCTGAAGAGCTGAGGGACAGTGCTCAGGCCCAGAGTTCAGGCCCCACGACCGGACTCAAAAAAAAAAAAAAAAAAAAAAAAGAGTTTCACAAACTTTCCTGCCTGGGCTGGTTTTGAACTGCGATCCTCAGATCTCAGCCTCCTGAGTAGCTAGGATTATAGGCATGAGCCACTGGCGCCCGGCCCTTTGGTTAATATTTATGTATCAATTCTGTAGTCTATGATCTTGCTCAACTTGATAATTAATTCTATTTTTTTGTAAATTCTTTAGCATTCACATATAAGATTGTATGATTAGCAAATAAAGACATGTTTACTTCTTCATCTCCAAAAAAAAAACAATCATTTTATTATACAACTCTATGAACAGAAAATCAACAGAAATATACAATATGCTCACTTACACATGTGACTTTACATTTTATGCTAGATATTTTTTACAGTTAATACTGAGTTTAATTTTAAAGTTCATAACTATGTATAACCTTATTACATTAAGGGCAAATTTTATATGGAGAGGTTCATAGGCAGACCACATTAAACATTATCAGTATATCCAAAGTCTATACCTCAGCCATGGATGCATCTTTCCTGATTCCATAAATTTAGATTTCTTTACAATTTAAGCTTATTTGCTATTTTGGATGCAGTGTTCTTTTTTTATTTGGTCGGTCATGGGACTTGAACTCATGACCTGGGCTCTGTCTCTGAGCTCTTTCACTCAAGGCTAGTACTCTGTCACTTTGAGACACAGCATCATTTCGAGTTTTCTGGTGGTTAGTTGGAGATAAGAGTCTCATGGATTTTCCTACAGGGCTGGCTTTGAACTGTGATCCTCAGATCTCAGCTTCCTGAGTAGCTAGGATGCAGGCATGAGTTTCCAGTTCCCAGTAAATGCAGTGTTCTTAAGGGCAATAGACGTTCCAGATAATTGCTTGAAGCAGACTCCATTAAGTGACAGTCATGGCAACTTACAGACTTCCAGAAGCATTTTTTTAAAGATAATTATTTGGAAACTACTATTTATGATGAATTTTAAAGTATATTTAGACTTAGAAAATCAGGAACATATAGCTCATTTTCCAAAAGTTTGTTACCTTAATGTATGATTATTATTAAAATGTATGGCTGAGGCTGGGAATGTGGCTTAATGGTAGAGTGCTTGCCAGCATGCATGAAGCCCTGGGTTGGATTCCTCACATACACAGAAAAAGCCAGAAGTGGTGCTGTGGCTTAAGTAGTAGAGTTCTAGCCTTGAGCAAAAGAAGCTCAGGGACAGTGTCTAGGCCCTGAGTTCAAGCCCCAGGACTGGCAAAAGAAAATGTGTATAGTTGTTTTAATACCAAAGCTCAGTAGGATTTTTATTGTTTTTTAAATTATTTTTATGAAAATACTATATATTTTAAATAAGAAACTTAACAGTTTTATAATTTTCCAGACCTAGAAAAATTAATGTCACTGTGACCCAGAACAAATCATGTTAAGTGAGGTAAGCCAGGCTCAGAGAGATAAATGGTGCATGTATTTTGTCACATGAGGAAGCTAGATTAAAATCCAGCTAGGTATGATAATATGTACAGGGCTCAATGCATTTACACACAAGCTGACTAAAAGAGGGAATATAGGGGAGAATCCAAAGGTGTAACTCCTCTGAACAAGTAAGGTACAGCTTATCAAGATGAATGCCAGGAAGTGGAAACATGTTTTGTTTTTGGGGGGTGGGCAAAGCAGGGGCACAGGAATGGAAGAAGGAAGAATAGGCAAATATACTCAATGTAATACTGACTATAGAGTGACAGTTACTTGAGTATAGCACAAAGAATCCAATTTTTATAAAACCAGTTTGCCAGGCTAGGAAGGTGGCTCAGTGGTAGAGCACTTGCCTGTATGCATGAGGCCCTGGGTTCAATTCCTCAGCACCACATAAGCAGAAAAAAGCCAGAAGTGGCTCTGAGGCTTAAGTAGTAGAGCCCTAGCCTTGAGCTGAAGAGCTGAGGGACAGTTCCCAGGCCCAGAGTTCAGGCCCCCCCCTCCCCCCAATAAAAAAATCAGTGTGCCAATGATGCAGCTTCTTTATAAGAGGAGTATTTCCACCGGATGCCAGTGGCTCACACCTATAAGCCTAACTACTCAGGAGGCTGCAATCTGAAGCCAAGCCTGGGCAGGAAAGTCTATGAGCCTCTTATCTCCACTAAACTACCAAAAAAAGCCCAAAGTAGAACTGTGGCCAAGTGGTTAAGAGCTAGCTTTGATCAAAAAAGAAGTTCAGGGACAACACCCAGGCCCTGAGTTCAAGACCCAGGACCTGCAAAAAAAGGAAGGAAGGCAGGCAGACAGACAGAAAGAATTTTTAAAAACCCACAAAAGAACAAACATGGCTTTTGTTCAAAGGAAACAATAGCAAGGTTCGGTTGTTGGGCGAATAAAGATAAGATGTGAAGAGCATGTACAAAGGTGTTTTTTAAAAAAATTTCCTGGGCTGGGAAAATGGCTCAGTGGTAGAGCGCTTGCCTTACATGCTTGAGGCCCTGGGTTCAATTCCTCAGCACCACATAAGCAAAATGAAAAAAGCCGGAAGTGGCGCTGTGGCTCAAGTGATAGAGCTGAAGAGCTGAGGGACAGCGCCCAGGCCCAGAGTTCAGGCCCCACGACCCGACCCCCCAAAAAAAAAATTTCCTTGAAAGTATTAAGCTTATCTTGAAGTTTATGACATGTCTATTTAGAGAGGTTGTGGATAATGGAGTAAGTCTGTGATTTGGGTCATTCATACCTTCTCTCTTTATCCTTCTCTAGTTGTGTGAAGAACTGTTTGAGAAGATTAACGACAACTGCAATGAAGAAATGTCTTACTCCGTAGAGGTGAGTGTAGTTGTGGTTGGACCTGGGGCCTCTGTACTCCCCTCTCTGTACTTTATGATGCTCAGTCCCTCAGTTTTGTACTTTTAGCCTATTTCTAAGTTTTGCTTATAATGAATAATGTTGAAATTAAGTTTTTGCTAATAAGTCTATGCATTTCTTTTCAGTCATTACCTTTTCTAAATGTCTTGATTGTTAAATAATACATGAAAATTGCCAAATGGCCTTTTAGAAAGAAATGCTATAACCAGTTTTTAATTCTGTGAGAGAGCTAGATGAGCCAGTCCCATTGTACCCTTGAGAACATTTAGCATGTGCATTTTATAATCTCTGATAATTTGATAAGGCATCATTTTTCTTGTCCAAGTTTGAATTTCTTTATTAGTGTGGTTGGCCATCTTGTAAATTATACGCATATGTATTTACATTTGGTGGTCATAGTTTTTAAAATTTATTGGAATATATTCTCTTTTTCCTGCTGTACTCATCATATTCTAAAATACTTAATAAATTATCCATATTTATATTTATTGGTCATTGTCAGTCTTGCTAGAATCATAAGGTATCTGTCAGTTTTATTTATTGAAGTCTGCCAAGTGCCTAAGAACCATGGCTAGAAGGTCATGGTATGCAGTGAATTGAATTTGCTAAGTGAGGTCTGTGGTGTTTGGTTCAGAAGTACTGTAAGTTACTTTGGATGGATTCATACTATAGAGAATAAGTTTATCAACTTAGGCAATTTAGGTTCTCTTAGCCTCATACTTGGAGAAAAAGGGGTAAATTTTCCAACAAGACATATCCACAAATCAATATATATACAAATTTTAAGTGGACAAAGATGATTAGCATTTCGCTTTCTGGGATGACTAGCTGACAGTATTTGTTGTCCTGTTCTGCTCTCATAGATTACTTACCTTTCAAGATTCAATTTTTCCATACTAATTTTTAACAATAAAAGATCAGAGATTATAAGACAAAGGTGGATGAAGAGAGATAAGGTTCTAATTCAGGTACTCTATAAATGAGCCTGTGGAATTTAAAATTGCATATCCAGATATATGTGGAGCATATATCTTTTACATACACTATATACCTATAAGTAACTGAGTGATGCAGAAGCATCATAATGTGATGTACTATGGTGAATTTACTATACTTGAGAGCCTTCTATACTTAGAAGCCTGATTTTATAAATCAATTAGGGGTAGAACCATCCTTCAACTTTAGGTTGGGGATATAACTCAGTGGTATGTAGAGCACTTGCTTAGCAAGCATGTAGCCCTGGTTTTTATCCCCACTACTACAAAAAACAAAAAACAAAAAACAAAACAAAGTCAGGCTGTTAATGAAACTTACTAGGGCTTGTGTCGTGAAATCACCATTTGGCTTGTTACTTTCTTACAAGGAAGAAGTATTAGCCAAGCGAGAATATTCACATTTGCAAGATTAATGTATTACCTTTCTGTGCACAATCTTGTGTTAGAATTCTGATGGTTGTTTGATAAGCATGGAATTAAAGGGAAGGAATTTGATTAGATAACATTTAATTGCCTTAGGTTAAGATTTAGATTGGTGCACTCATCCTTGTCATAGGAAAGGTTCTTCTGACAGGACGAAATTCTGGGAGTGTGCCGTCTTGAGTCTTCTTCAGTTAGCTATCATTGTTAACCAGTCTTCACGCCTTCCAGTGGATTACACTGTCATAGTAATTATGCCATCTTAAAGATGAATTACTGGTCTCTTTTGCCTTCCTTGCTCTGGAATGTTGATATTGTTCCTAGGATTTAATACTGACAGAAGTCTATTTCTTTCCTTTTTTGGGGGGGGGGAGGGTCCAGTTATGGGACTGAACTCTGGGCCTGGGCGCTCCCCTCAGCTCTTCAGCTCAAGGCTAGTGCTCTACCACTTGAGCCACAGCGCCACCTCCGGCTTTTTTTTTTTCTGCTTATGTGGTGCTGAGGAATCGAACCCACGGCCTCATTCGTGCAAGGCAAGCGCTCTACCACTGAGCCACCTTCCCAGCCCCAGAAGTCTATTTCTTTTTTTTTTGTTGTTGTTGGTCGTGGGGCTTGAACTCTGGGCCTGGGCGCTGTCCCTCAGCTCTTCAGCTCAAGGCGAGCGCTCTACCACTTGAGCTACAGCGCCACTTCCGGTTTTCTAGTGGTTTATTGGAGATAGGAGTCTCACGGTCTCTCCTGCCGGGGCTGGCTTTGAACCGCAATCCTCAGATCTCAGCCTCCTGAGTAGCTAGGATTACAGGCATGAGCCACCAGCGCCCGGCCCCAGAAGTCTATTTCTAACCTCACTTTAAACCTCAATTACAGATAGTAACATACTTTTAAAACAAATATACTGAGGGCTAGGGATGTAGCCCAGTGGTAGAGTTCTTGCCAAGCATTTGCAGCACTCTCAATTTAGTCCCTACCACTACATAAATAAGAAAGCAGACACCCACTGGTAATTGATAAGTTGGTATTAATATATATATTTTTCTGCCATTGGCAAGTAGCAGCCACTATGTGTAGAGGTAAACTATTTACTTCTTTTTCCTTCATGAGAAATTCAGAAGACTAGTTTTAACCTATGTATACCATGTGATATCTGTGCATATCTATACAGTCTTGCAGACCATAATTATGACATACTTCCTGAAGGTTGTTGGTCTTTAAAGACAGAGGTTTTGGAAGTACTGGAGTTTGAACTCCAGGTTTCTTTTTTTTTGTCGGTCATGGGGCTTGAACTCTGGGCCTGGGCGCTGTCCCTCAGCTCTTCAGCTCAAGGCGAGCGCTCTACCACTTGAGCTACAGTGCCACTTCCAGTTTTCTAGTGGTTTATTGGAGATAGGAGTCTCACTGTCTTTCCTGCCTGGGCTGGCTTTGAACTGTGATCCTCAGATCTCAGCCTCCTGATTAGCTAGGATTACAGGCATGAGCCACCAGCGCCCGACTATGAACTCCAGGTTTCTTGCTTGATAGGCACTCTATCACTTGAGCCACTGTGCTGCCCCCCTCCCACCCCCTTTTTCTTTTTGAGATAGAGTCTCACTTTATGCTTGGACCAGCTTGGGCAGCAATCTGCTTTTCCGCTTATTTGTGCTTCCCTGCATAGCTGGATGACAGGTACATACCACTGTGCCTAGCCATCGGTGGAGGTATAAACTTTTGCCTGGGTTGGCCTTGAATCATGATCGCTGGAGCTTTACCTCTCAAGTAGCAAAGATTATAATCTTGAGCCACTGTATCTGGTTATATAGGGGGTGTTTTTTTTTTTGGTCATGAGGCTTGAACTCTGGGCCTGGGCGCTATCCCTGGCTCTTCAGCTCTAGACCAGTGCTCTGTCACTTGAGCCACAGTGCAACTTCCAGTTTTCTGGTGATTAATTGGAGATAGGAGTCTCACAGACTTTCTTGCCTGGGCTGGTTTTCAACCTCAATCCTCAGATCTCAGCCTTCTGAGTAGCTAGGATTACAGGCATGAACCACTGGCGCCTGGCTTGCATAGAGCTTTTTATAAAAGTCTTTTTTTTTTTTTGGTTAAATGAGATAGGGCCTCCCTATGTAGTCTAGGTGGGCTTTGAACTCAAATTCCTACTGCCTCTGCTTCCTGCTCAAGTGCTGGGATTATAGACGTGCCACCACCTCTGGTTTTATAAAAGTTTAAAATACCTTTTTACTATATATGATTTCTTTGTTCCAATTCATTTAATTCACTTAAATAATATGTTCTTAGGTGAGCTACATGGAAATTTACTGTGAGAGAGTACGAGATTTGCTGAATCCGAAAAATAAGGGAAATTTGCGTGTGCGTGAACATCCACTTCTTGGGCCCTATGTGGAAGATCTGTCCAAACTGGCAGTCACTTCCTACACAGACATTGCTGACCTCATGGATGCTGGGAACAAAGCCAGGTACCATAGGAAATTGGATAATAACTGAAGTTTTGGCATGTTTGAAGCCCCATGTGAAGGGATTGAAGCCACATTTGTGGCTAAGAAAGAGACTTTAATTGTGGGGCTAAGAGCTAGGCTCAAGAGGTGTGGGCTCTGTAGCCTACATTGCCTTGTTGCATTGCTATAGCAGGTTAGAACTTTGCTTAAGTTTTATTCTTAGGTGTTTACTAAGTCATGGTATGATGTTAGTCATGTCTCTATGAGGCTATGGTAGTCATTGATTCTGGAATAAATGGGTGCCTAATAAAGAATGAAAATTAAATGCTCTAGTGGTTTTTAAAGGGTTAGCTGGAGTATGAAAAATGATTGTGAGGGGTGCCTGTGGAGTTCAGAGGGTAACTTGATGGGCTCACAAAGCAGTATTGAGAGCAGTTGTGTAAGTGACAGCTTACACAACTAAGTTTAAAGCTTTGCTTGTGATTGTAATGCTTATAATGTGGAGCTTGCTGTCCATTTAAACTCTTATATAAGAATTCCATTATCACGTGGTCACCTTTATGTTTATTTAGGACAGTGGCAGCTACTAACATGAATGAAACAAGTAGCCGTTCCCACGCTGTCTTTACCATTGTTTTCACCCAGAAGAAACATGATACTGAGACCAACCTTTCCACTGAGAAGGTAGGAAAACATGGAGCTCTAGACCCAACTCATGAATAGCAGAAAATTTGAGAAAGTTCCCTTTACAATCCTCTGTATTTTGTGGGAACGAGAGTTGTTCATTGACTAAATGGATGATGTTTTCTTACTGTTTCTTTTTTTTTTTTTCTTTTTGGTTCTGGTTGTGGGGCCTGAACTCTGGGCCTGGGCGCTGTCCCTCAGCTCTTCAGCTCAAGGCTAGCACTCTACCACTTGAGCCACAGCACCACTTCCGGCTTTTTTTTCCTGCTTATGTGGTGCTGAGGAATCGAACCCAGGGCCTCTGACATGCAAGGCAAGCGCTCTACCACTGAGCCACCTTGCCAGCCTCTTCTTACTGTTTTTTGAGCACATGGTGGGGGCTGGGGAAGGTCATGGTGGCATTTCCACTCATGTGTATATAATATATTCCATTCAGTCTCACCCTGTCTGTGTCACTCTCTCTTTCTTCCCTCCTGCCTTCCTAAAACAAATTCAACAGGTTTCATTGTTCTATTTTCATGCATGCAGACTATTTCCTTGGGCCATATTCCTTTTCATTCACCTGAAGGGTGATTTTTTTTTCCTTTGCTTATTAGCATTTTTCTTCTACCCCACACCAGTTTTCATCATAGGTTCTTAAATAAAATTGCATTATAGAAGAAAATAGTTTTAAGGCTTTGGATGTCATAAACTCCTCTGTGTATGCAAGATAGTCAAGCAGTTCTTTTTTGGGGAAATCTTTCCTTTTCTTCTTGACTGGGTAATAATAATGTTAATTGATAACGTTGCTACAGAATAGTAGTGTGGGATTAAATGTTGAAGCAAATGATTAGGCAGGCACAGTGTTTTATTTCTGGAAAATAAATAACACGCCACAACTCTCATATACTTGTGCTTTTGTTTTGTTTTGTTCTTACTCAAGCTGTACTTGTTTTTGTTGCTGTTTAATTTGCTTTTGTGGTTCTAAGAACCAAACCTAGAGCTTTACTCATGCTAGGCAAGCACCTGCCACTAAGCAATACCCCAGACCACCTTTGCTTATTTTGGCTTGTGGGTAAATATCCAAAATTGACTCACCTTATCCATTTTGGGTAGTGGTTAAATAGTGTAGACTTTGGAATGAGAATGCTTGCTTTAAACCCTGGCTCTGCTGTGTTTTAGCTGTATAACCTTGGGCAAGTTACTTGACCTCTTTGTGTATGGAAGGAAGGGATGGCAGAAAGGAGGGGAGGAAGAAAAGGGAGGAAGAAAAGAAGACAGGAAGAAAAGAAGAAAGAAATTAAGAGGATACTAGAAAATGGAAAGATATCCCATGTTCATGAATTAATATGAAAATAGCCATATTGTTGAAATCAGTCTGCAGATTCAGTATAATATCTGTCAAAGTCCAATGTCATTTTTCACAGAAATAGAAAAATCAACCCAAAAATTCATATTAAAAGCATAAAATATCCCAAATAGCAAAAGTGACTCTGTGCAAAAAGAACAACGCTAGAGATATCACAAATACAGATTTCAAATTATACTGCAAAGCCATAGTAACAAAAACAGTATGATACTAGCATAAAACCAGGCCCTGAAGACCAGTGGAATAGAAGACCCAGAAATAAAACCATACAACTTCAGCTATCGGATCTTTGACAAAAGAGCACAAAACTTATGCTAGAGAAAAGACAACCTCTTCAACAAATGGTATGGGCAGATTGGTTAACTACGTGCAGAAGACTCCAAATGTATAAAAGAACTCAAAGACTTGAAACTTTCAACCTACTATAGGAAAACATAGGAAAAAGTTCTTAATAGTTACAGGCACAGGTAATTATTTCTCAGTAGGACTCAAATAGCTCAGAAAATGAGCGTAAGAATTGATAAATACAGCTATATCAAACTAGAAAGTTTCTGTGTAACAAAAGAATTTACCAGGACCAAGCTATTCAACAGATAAAAAAAGGATTTTTACACAAAGGACAAAAAAAAAATTAAACAGCAAAAAAACATATAATCCAGTTGATAAATGGGCAATTGAATTGAACACAATTTTCAGAAAAAAAATAGAAATTGGTAGTAGAAACATGAAGAAATGTTCAGCCTTAGCCATAAGCAAATGCAAATCAAATCTACACTAAGATTCCATCTCACCCAACATAATGATAATCATAAAGAAAATAAACAACACACAAACAAGTGCATACTAAACCTACCAACACAACTATGTTTATCACAGCATTATTTACTGGCTAAGATACAGAACCAACCCAGATGCCCCTCAGTAGATGAATGGATCAAGAAAATGTGACACACACACACACACACACACACACACACACACACACACACACACACACACACACACACACACACACACACACACACACACACGAATTCTATGCCTCCATCAGAAAGAATAACATTGCCCCGTTGTTAGGGAATGGAAAGACTTGGAAAAATTATATTAAGTGAAGTAAGCCAGGCCCAAAGAAACACAGGTCCCATGGTTTCCCTTATTTGCATTAACTAGTATATGTCTAGGACAAGCAGAAAAGGTCAAAAGCTAAGATAATGTTAAGTGAACTGAACCCCAAGACAGGGACATAAGTGTTTTTTTTTCTTGCTGTTGTTTTTAACATACTTATAATGTACTATGTGATTTTTTTTTTGTTTCTTTTGTATGTTCTTCCGCCATGGTATAACTCCTGTTTTCATATTAATTCATGAACATGGGATATCTTTCCATTTTCTAGTATCCTCTTAATTTCTTTCTTCTTTTCTTCCTGATTCTGGTGCCCTGCATCTTGTACATGCATTTTTCTAATTTGGGGAGGGGAAGGGAAAAAAAACAAAATGCTTAAATAGGGATACAGGTTGACCTATTGTAACAGTGAGATGTACAAGACACTATGTTGAAAATGAATTTTACAACTTGTGGCAGGGGGAGGGAAGAATTAGGGAGGGAAGGGATAGTTGGGGAAAAACAAAGGAGGAGGTAACAATGCTTGATAGGAAATGTACTCCATTACCTTACTCGTGTAACTGTCATCCCTCTGTATACTATTTTTACAATATAATACATTTTTTTAAAAAAAGAAAATTACACTAAATGTCGGCAAGGATGTAGAGATTCCCAACTGGTACAGTCACTATGGAAGTCAGTATGGAGGTTCCTGAAAAAAAACTAAGAACACCTGTATTATGACCCTACTTTACCACTCTTGGGCATATTTGAAAGGAGTATAAACCAATATGCACTAACGTATAAACGTACTGTTAGCCGGGTGCTAGTGGCTCATACTTGTAATCTTAGCTACTCAGGAGGTTGAGATCTGAGGATTGTGGTTCAAAGCCAGCCCTGGCAGGAAAGTCTGTGAGACCCTTATCTCCAGTGAACTACTCAGAAAAAGCCAGAAGTGGTACTGTGTTTCAAGTGGTAGAGTGTTAGCTTTGAACAGAAAGAAGACAGCACCCAGTTCCTGAGGTAAGCCCCAGGACAGGCAAAAAACCAAAACCAAAATACCAAAACATACTGTTGTATATTTGTATATACAACAATAAAACCTGTTGTAGTTGTTTTACAATGGATTAGAGGATCAGGAAGAGGAGTATAATGGGTAAGTTTGATTAGGGTACATTGTATACATGAGTGGAAATGTCACAGTGAACCTCATCCCTTACAACTAATGCATACTAAGAAAAAAAATCTTAATTAAAAAAAGCCAAAAACTTTTCTAAAGTGGTATTATTTAGCATGCCCATCAGCAGTGTATGAGGTTCTAGTTACTCAAAGCTTTGTGTTTAATATATCATTTAATAGGTTGATGAGTTTTACTTTATTTTTTATTCACTACTGTAATAAAATAGGCATGTTTATCCTAAACTTCTGCAATAGTCAGTTTTCAGTTACTGTAGTGAAATATCCAAGAATGTGTAACTTTGTAAGGAAAGAGATTTATTTAGCTCACAGTTCTGGAGGTTCAGGGGCATGGCAGTAGCATCCGCGTGGCTCTGATGAAGTCCTCACGGCAGATGGCATCACAATGGTGGGAGGGTGTGCAAAAGTGAGAGCTCACCTCCCCACACTGGGAGCCCAGAAGCTGAAGGGTGGCCAGCCTTGTCAGTTTATAACAACACTCTCATCTGTGGCCAGTTCTCCCATTGATCTAAGGACCTCCCACTAGGCTGCACCTCTTAAAGGTCCCACTGCCTCTTACTATTCCAAAACTGGGATCAGGCTTCCAATAATAGGAATTTTTAGGGAAAATTACATCCAAACCATAACAAATTACTGCTTTTGAATCAAGATAATTAAGAAATTGCTATGAGTTTTATGCATTCTAGGTATGTGTGTGTGTTCACGTGTACACATGCAGAATTGAGCCACGCACCTTGCACCCATGTACTTGCACTCTGCTGTTGAGCTATTCCTCCAACCCTGAGCACGCTTGTCACATTGACTGTGTTATATATTCTCTTTGTTTTCTTGAGCCATAATATAAGAGCATAGTATTTGCAGTCTTATTCATACTTCAATTTTCTAAAAAAAATTTCTCTAAATGTTTTCTACTTCTACCTTCTTATTTTTGAATTGCTCCCATGTTACTGTTCTTTACCAGGTCAGTAAAATCAGCTTGGTGGATCTAGCAGGAAGTGAACGAGCTGATTCAACTGGTGCCAAAGGAACTCGATTGAAGGTATTTCTTAAATCAGCATAGTCAATCAGTGTTCTAGAATGTGGGTCAGAGAATTGTGGCCAGAGGGCCAATCCCAATTTACTACCTGATTTTCTTGAAACATAGCTAGATCCATTAGTTTATGTATGGTCTATGGCCGCTTTTGTACTCCAGTAATGGAAGTTGCAATAGACTATATGTCACATGAAATCCAATTTTTATTTGACTTTTTAGAGAAAACTTTTGCCAGTTGTTGTTCTGCAACTTCAATAAAAGGGTACTAGATGGAAGTAAAAGACAGTAGTGGAAATGGGATATACCAAATCCAGATGTAAAAACATCATGGACTTTGATAGAGATACTGTTTACCAAGAATAAGCGATTGTTCCCACAACTCACCAACATGAGATTTGGTGTTGGTGGTTGTGGGAAGAAGGCATCTCTGTAAGGTTTTGGAGCACAGACATCTTGAAGGTACACTTAGAACTGAGACGTAAGCCTGTGATTCCAGTATATTGTCACAAGAGCAAGGGAAGATTGAGGACTAACCAAGGCTTTAGAACTTGTGACCATAAGAAACAGATATGCTAGTATATTATAAATTTTATGAATACAGATGAATAGGTGTGGGAGAAATTCTTCATAATTCTTTTGTGTTTGGTGTTTATTTTAGGAAGGAGCAAATATTAATAAGTCTCTTACAACTTTGGGCAAAGTTATATCAGCTTTGGCAGAGGTGGTAAGTTTTATATTTTACTGAAACAGGAAATTTGTCTGCTCAGCAAATATACTTGATGATATTTTTATGCTTATTTCTGAAGGCTGCCCTGATTTGACTCTTTTAGGTAATCTTAACCTTTTGCCTTTTCGAGCTTTTCAGATAAGAACTATGTGTAACACAGTTTGACTTTGTTCTGAAAGTAAAATGAAAGCACAAGTAAATGTGTAAAGGTTGGAGCAAAGTTCTAAGATTTGGTTTGATTTTTTTTTTTTTTTGTCCTGGTCCTGGAGCTTGAACTCAGGGCCTGGGCATTGTTCCTGAGCTGCTTCTTTTTTTTTTTTTTTTTGGGTCCGGTCATGGGGCCTGAACTCTGGGCCTGGGTGCTGTCCCTCAGCTCTTCAGCTCAAGGCTAGCGCTCTACCACTTGAGCCACAGTGCCACTTCCTGCTTTTTTCTTTTTGTTTATGTGGTGCTGAGGAATCGAACCCAGGGCCTCATGCATGCAAGGCAAGTGCTCTACCACTGAGCCACCTTCCCAGCCCCTTGATTCATTTTTTGAGCTTTATTTCATCTCACAAAAACCAAGTAAATGTTTTGTGCATTCATTTGCCTGTATAATCTTTTTTTCTTTTTTGAACATAAGATATAATATCTTTTTTTTTTTTTTTTTTTGGTCCGGTCGTGGGGCCTGAACTTTGGGCCTGGGCGCTGTCCCTCAGCTCTTCAGCTCAAGGCTAACACTCTACCACTTGAGCCACAGCGCCACTTCCGACTGTTTTTCTCTGCTTATGTGGTATTGAGGAATCGAACCCAGTGCATGCAAGGCAAGCACTCTACCACTGAGCTAACTTCCCAGCCCAAGATATAATATCTTTTGGAGTATTTTGATCAATTTGACTTTGGTAAATGCTGTTTAGTGATACATAATATACATTATATATTTTAAAATGCATTCATGTCTCACTTAATGAGGAAACTACTTTTTTTTTTTTTCCAGTCTTGATGCTTGAACTCAGGGCCTGGACACTGTCCCTGAGCTTCTTTTGCTCAAGGCTAGCATTCTACCACTTGAGCTACAGTGCTACTTCTGGCTTTTTCTGTTTATGTGGAACTGAGGAATCGAACTCAGGGCTTCCTGCATGCTAGGCTGACATTGTACCACTAAGCCACACTCCTATGATGTGAGAACATCCTAGGGTGTGCTCACCCAAACTTAGTATAGTTCAGTAGCCTGTTGGTCCTAAGGCCACAATGAGCATGAGATTAAATCAAGCACGAGAGAAATAATGCAGTGAAACTGATATAAACTTAAGATGTACGAGGCCGTGGCTGGCATAACATGGCATACTGTTTCACAGTAAACTTTTTTTTTTCTTTTTTTTGCCAGGCCTGGGGCTTGAACTCTGGGCCTGGGTGCTGACCCTTAGCTTCTTTTGCTCAAGGTGAGAGTTCTACCAGTTGAGCCACAGCACCACTTCCAGCTTTTTTGAGTTGGAGATAAGAGTCTCATGGAGTTTCTTGTCCCTGCTGGCTTTGAACCACGATCCTCAGGTCTCAGCCTCCTGAGTAGCTTGAATTATAGGCATGAGCCACCGGTGCCTGGCCTGGCCACTATAAATGGAAGATCACTGTAATGGTGGACCACTGTTTCCATTATCAAATATCAAGTACTGGCCCTAATTATATGTGGTATTGTTGTGCATGACAGACACTGCAGCAGTTGTCCCATCAGCGTCACTGCAAGCAGATGAGCAGTGCACTGTGTATCACACCACCTAAAGATGGCAGCCACACTGGCATTTCTCAGTGCTCTTATAACCTTAGGGACCCACCACTATTGTATATGTGCTGTATGTGGAACAGAGCCTTATGCAGTGCACGACTGTAATTTCATCCTTTTCATTAACTATGAAACACTAAAGATGAACCAGTTTGGTTTTTTTTTGTTTTTTTTTGTCGGTTGTGGGTCTTGAACTCTGGGCCTGGGCACTGTCCCTGAGCTCTTCAGCTCAAGGCTAGCATTCTACCACTTGAGCCACAGCGCCACTTCTGGTTTTCTAGTGGTTAATTGGAGATCAGAGTCTCATGGACGTTCCTGCCCTGTCTGGCTTTGAACCGTGATCCTCAGATCTTAGCCTCCTGAATATCTAGGATTACAGGTGTGAGCCACTGGCACCCAGTTTTTGTATGAAGGTCTTCATTATTTAGGGTAAAAGAAAGTAGTTAATTTACATCCATTTAAATCACTACAAAAAAATTAAATGTTTTCTTGCTTGTCTCTCTCACTTTTTTCTTTTGTGCTAGTACTGGGGCTTGAACTCAGGGCTTGGGCTCTATCCCTAGCTTTTTCATTCAAAGCAGTTGCTCCACCATTCGTGCAACAGCTCTATGTCTGGCTTTTTGCTGGTTAATTGAAGATGGGTCTCAGACTTTCCTGCTCTCGCTGTTTTCAACCTCCTGAATAGGATTACAGGCATGAACCACCAGCGCCCTGCATCTCGCTTGTCTCTTAAGACATTGTCTATGACTTGCATTTAAACAGAATGCTTGTTTGAAGCTTATCTTGTGCTCTTATTTTCTCCTTTGAATGCATTCGTTCACAGGATAACTGCACCAGCAAGGTATGATGGGGATGGGTGGAGATGAACTAGCCATCCAGCCACTGTGAAGGTTGAGGCTGTGTAGAACCTCCAGAAAACATTGTGTGATTTGTTTTCTGGCTCTGGGATTTAGAGTGGCAGTTAAGAGTATCCATGAATCATTCACTGCACACCAGAAGTAATTTAGGAGCATGGTATACTTTGGTGAGGAAATTGAGAATAAAGAAACAAAAGGGAAATTTGAGGGAGTTTTATATCACTTTGTAATGTTTGTCTCTGATATTTGTAGGACTGACTCTTGATAGTTCTGCAAACCATTCAGAAGTGCAATAAATTTTTTAAATTCCACCTCTCCCCCCCACCTCCCCAGTCCTGGGGCTTGACCTCAGGGCCTGGGCACTGTCCCTGAGCTTTTGCTCAAGGCTGGCACTCTACCACTTGAGCCACAATGCCACTTCTGCCTTTTCTGTGTATGTGGTACTGAGGAATCAAACCCAGGGTTTCATGCATGCTAGGCAAGCACTCTACTGCTATGCCATATTCCCAGCCCAGTTCTTTTAACTTCTTAAAGGTGCTATTCTAAAATACAGTTTGCTTTTTAAGATTGTGTGTGTGTGTGTGTATCCTTTTATTTTTCTGGAGATTACCTGCAAGATAAGGGGCTGGCTTTGAGCCTTGATCTTCAGATCCCAGTCTCCTGAATAGCTGGGATTATAGCCATGAGCTGGCCCCCAGCTTTGCCTTTTGGTTTTTATTCTATTGATTAGAGTTAGTGTTTGTTTGTTTGTTTGTTTTTTGGGGGTCCGGTCGTGGGGCCTGAACTCTGGGCCTGGGCGCTGTCCCTCAGCTCTTCAGCTCAAGCCTAGTGCTCTACCACTTGAGCCACAGTGCCACTTCTGGCTTTTTTCTTTTTTGTTTATTTGGTGCTGAGGAATTGAACCCAGGGCCTCATGCATGCAAAGCGAGCGCTCTACCACTGAGCCACCTTTCCAGTCCTGTTTTTTTTTTTTATGAGATGAATATCTCATTTATTGGTTGGCTAAGTAAATTAATGAAATGATTTGTTCTTATTCATTTAATGTAGAATGCACAGGACTCATATTTGCCTTCGTGTAAAAAGAAAACTCATTAAATTGCTAGTATTAGATGATAGTAAGGAATTACTATTGATTTTTCAGAATGATATTGTCTTACAATTATGTTTTTTGAATCCTTGTCTCTGAAAGTTGTGTACCTATAGTATTTATAGTTGAAATGTTGAATTGCTTTGAAATACTGATAACTATAATGACATGATTTGCACAGGATATTAGTATTGTACACTGTGTAAGAGAATGTCCTTATCTGCCAAAGAGTTTAGACATGGTATCTGCAACTTCCTCCAAAATGGTTTAAGAATGTAGAAAAGTATTTTGGGGATAATTGAAAGATGACCGGAAAATTATTGATAATGGGTGAAGCTGCTTGTTGGGTATATGACAGCTTGATTTTTGTGTATGATATAAAAATTTCAAAACAAAATGTATGAAGGAAGAATTACTGCATGAGCTGCCAGTGCCATGAAAACTGTGATTGATAAATGTCAACAGTGATGGAATTCCGCTTCGAGATTTTAGAATGGTTCACTTTTCATGTGTATTTTCCTCCATGACTTTGCTAAGCTGATTCCTTTCCCTCTAATAGAGTAAGAAGAAGAAGAAAACTGATTTCATACCTTACAGGGATTCTGTACTTACTTGGCTCTTACGAGAAAATCTGGGTATGTTGACTACTGGTACAACTTAACTTTGTAGTTCTCTTTTTAAGGCTGTTTACTAATTGACTTGTGGTTTATTGTTATATTTTGGAGAACTAGATACTAGAACTAGTACTAAATATTCATAGTACTTACTTGAGTGCTTTATTTTTTTATTATTTTATTTTTTGTTGGTCGTGGGACTTGAACTCTAGGCCTGAATGCTGTCCCTCAGCTCTTTAGCTCTACCACTTCAGCCACAGAGCCACTCCTAGTTTTTTGGTGATTTATTGGAGGTAAATGGCCTTTCCTGCCTGGGCTGGCTTTGAACCTTGATCCTCAGATCTCAGCCTTCTGAATAGCTAGGATTACAGGTGTGAACCACCAGTGCCTGGCTTACTTGAGTGCTTCATGCCTCTCCATTTTTTACTCCTGATTTCAGCTGATTGTATTCACTCACTTTTAAATCTGGATGTTCTCCCAAAATCATTTACTACAGGACATTAACTGTGGAGCAGTTACCATCCTAACTCCTTGCACCTGCTTGAGACTGAACTCTGCTTCTTCCTCAAAGTTCTTTCAGAACTTCATATTCCAGGGATGTGCATGTAGTCAGCTGTTGGCAGACCTCATGCTCCTTATTACAAATGTTTTTGACTTTTCAGCTCCTTCCTTCCTTTTCCTTGCTCCTCCTTACCAAGGACAGTTGTTTTTTTTTTTTTTTTTTTTTTGGGGGGGGGGGGGGGGTCCAGTCGTGGGGCCTGAACTCTGGGCCTGGGCGCTGTCCCTCAGCTCTTCAGCTCAAGGCTAACGCTCTACCACTTGAGCCACAGCGACACTTCTGGCTTTTTTTTTTCTTTTTGCTTATGTGGTGCTGAGGAATCGAACCCAGGGCCTTGAGCATGCAAGGCAAGCGCTCTACCACTGAGCCACCTTCCCAGCCCCAAGGACAGTTTTTAACTTTTATTTTTGTTTATTTTGGTTTGCTGAGATCTTGATTGCACCAGGTTTTAGAGAAGAGAGTAAGCCGGGCACCAGTGGCTCACGCCTATAATCCTAGCTACTGGAGAAGCCAAGATCTGAGGATCACGGTTCAAAGCCAGCCCGGGCAGGAAAGTCTGTGAAACTCTTATCTTCAATAAAACACTAGAAAACTGGAAGTGGCGCTGTGGCTCAAGCGGTAGAGCACTCCCCTTGAGCTGAAGAGCGCTGGAACAGTGCCAAGGCCCAGAGTTCAATCCCCATGACCGACAAAAAAAAAAAAAAGAGAGAAGAGAGTAAGAGGATAGGTACTGGATGCAGGAGATCCACACACCAAAATTTGAACATTTGGAGTGAAACATTTAAGAAAGCTGTTGAATTTTGGTTATATTTTAGGATCTGAAATTGTACTGTGATTTGGCCCAGTCAATACAATTCTAAAATAACTTATAATTTGAGATATTTCTGGCTCATTTTAGGTGGTAATTCTCGGACTGCAATGGTTGCTGCTCTGAGCCCAGCAGATATCAACTATGATGAAACTCTGAGCACTCTGAGGTACTCTTAATTTAATCTCAGTAGCTAAGTCATTTTGTTATACCACAGATTGTCATAGGCTGCAAGGGTAGCTGTTTAGGCTAATAGTGATCTCATCCTCTCCTAACAGAAAAACATGGGAAAAATTATTTTTATTACAATGCAGTCCATTTACTGCTTGTGGTTTACTGAGAAAGGCAGGAACTTTTTCATAGGAAAGATGTTAAATTGCTTATAAGATTGTTAGGACAATGAAATTGTCTATAATAATATTTATTTCTCTAAAATGTATTTCCCTCTTGAACATAATCTTTCTCTTTAAATATGTTCAAGTAATGAAATTATGAATGCATGTAATATTGAAAACTTTATCAACAGAGTTGGGCATTGGTGCCTCACACCTTTAAGTCTAGCTACTCAGAGAGACTAAGATTTGAGGACTGTTGGAAGCTAGCCCAAGCAGAAAAGTTATCTTAGGTTCTTTCCCACTTAATCAGCAAAATGCCAGAATTATAGGCATTGCTCAACTAGAAGAGTGCCAGCTGAGAGCAAGAATACCTATATATATGTGTGTGTGTGTATATATATATATATATATATATATATATATATATATATTACATACACACGTAGCATATTGAATATTCAGTTATAGAGTATCTTACATGTACAATTTTTATTATATTAATCTAGAACTCTTTGCCCTTACCTCATTGAAGATACTTTGGATGTAGTAAAAGAATACTATATAACCTGAAAAACTAGATTGAGTCCTCTCTTTGGCATTTATGTATGTGTGCTCGTGTGTGCAGGTGTGCATGCATGAGTACACTGGTCCTGGAGCTTGAACTCAGGGCCTAGGCACTATCCCTGAGCTTCTTCTGCTCAGAGTTAGTGCCCTGTCATTTGTGCCAGAGCTCTACTTCCAGCTTTTTGGTAGCTTTTGGAGGGAAGAGCCTACCAAGATCCTCAGATCTTGGCTTCTTGAGTAAGTAGGATTATAGGTATGAGCCACTGATGCCTAGCCTCTCTGTGGTATTTGTTTCTGTTGAGATCTTGGGCAAATCATTATTTATCTAAGCCTTTTCCTCATCTTTATAAGTAAGGTACTATAAATCTTTGTAAAATATTTATTATCAAAGCTCATAAAATGTATAAATACTCAATGTTTATTTTAGAAATGATATGTTACTTATGAGAAGTAGAGCAGCTAAGAAATGGTGATACTTAATTTTCTGCTTGGATCTAGATATGCAGATCGTGCAAAACAAATTAAGTGCAATGCTGTTATCAATGAAGACCCCAATGCCAAACTGGTTCGGGAGTTAAAGGAGGAGGTGACACGACTGAAGGACCTTCTTCGTGCCCAGGGGCTGGGAGACATTATTGACAGTAAGTGAGCTAATGGTCTTCCTCTTCAGGTTCAGAATTTGGTTAACCTACATAGTAGTGAACTTGTGATTTTTTTTCTTGTTAAAAAAGAAAAAAAGAAAATGATTGTAAAATCCCTTATGTAGCATGTATTAGGTGACCCATGATTTTTTTTTAATGTTAAATTTATCTCACTGAGAAATTATTTCATTTAAAATTGACTTGGAATTTCTGTTTTTCTTTAATGGGTTTCTATGGATGTAGTAGCAGTTATAATGTATGAGAAACCCACTATTAACAAGTTTACTTTCAGATAAAATTCTCCCTCGAATAATCCCTGCTGCCTATGAGCATATGAAAGAAAAAGTCCAACTCCTGTGAAGAACTAGATTTCCAGGGAGTACTGTTTATAATATTCCTTTATAACATATCATTTTAAAATTTTAGTGATCTGCTATATAATGACTAACCAAAAGTTTTTTAAAGTAGCAGCGGAGGATGTAGTTCAGTGGGTTAGTGCTTGCCTAACATGGGCAAGGTTCTAAGTTTGATCCCAAGCACAATTAAAAAAAAATTCTCAGGTTTTTTATGGCTCACACTTGTAATCCTGGTACTCAGGAGGCTGAAATCTCAGGATCTCAATTCAAAGTCAGCCTGAGCAGAAAAGTCTGTGAGACTCTGGAGGCATGGCTCAAGTGGTAGAGTGCCGGCTGTGAGAAAGTAAGCAAAGTGAGAAGACAACCCTGAGTTCAAGCCCCAGTACCAGTAAAAAATTAAAAATGTCCTCAGACTGGGGATGTAGCTGAAATGGTGATTACTTGACTTGCAAGCACAAGGCTCTGAGTTGGGGGTGGGGGGGCTGTGGGAAGGAAGAACACAAGGAAGGAAGGAAGGAAAGAAAAAAGGAAGGAAGGAAGGAAAGAAGAAAGGATAAAAATAGATTTTTTCCAGCCAGGCACCGGTGGCTCACGCTTGTAATCCTAGCTACTCAGGAGGCTGAGATCTGAGAATCGCGGTTCAATGCCAGCCTGGGCAGGAAAATCTGTGAGCTTCTTATCTCCAATAAACCACCAGAAAACTGGAAGTGGTGCTGTAGCTCAAGTGGTAGAATGTTCGCTTGAGCTGAAGAGCTGAGGGACAGCGCTCAGGCCCAGAGTTCAAGCCCCATGATTGACCCCCCCCCCCCCAAAAAAAAAATTTATATATATATATCCAAATAGAATAGAATGTAGTGCAATATAGGATTATTGAATAAAGCTTATTTTGAGTATAAGTATTATTTTATTTTCTAATCAATGTCAAGGCTTCTACTTTAGTTTTTAGAGCCTGAGTATAAAGTAGTACTTTTTAAAAAATGGTAATATAAATATTATTCTTTTTTTTTATCTTGCCAAATATTAAATACTGCTCTGTTCCCTCTCTGTGTCGCTGCTGAATCTGAACTTTGACCCTTCTTGTATTTTCCCTCCTGCTTATCTTCAGTTGATCCGTTGATCGATGATTACTCTGGAAGTGGAGGCAAATGTGTGTATTTCGTGTATTGGTTAATTTCCAGCATTCTGACTTGTTAATCTGCCTTTGCTGGATCAGCCTTAAAATGAGCTTTGCATGCCAGCAATCATAACAGGGGAATCCCAGACAGAGCATACTGTAGTATCAGAAATTCTAGTTTTGTGTTTTCTCTGTTTGGCAAAGCAGTCTTTAATGAATTTCAGTGTGTACCTTGAGTGAAATCAAAAGGCTTAGGAGTTTCTTGTTCCTAGCCAGGTATGGCAGTCCATGCCAATAATTCCAGCTTCATGGGAGGCAGAAGTGGGGGAATCACAGCTCTAGGTCAGTCTTGGCAAAAAGAAAAACAAAAAAACAAAAACTGTTGCCTTGAAGCCAGGTACATGCCTGGCTATGCAGGAGGCAGAGGTAGGAGGACTGTGGTCTGCTCTTAGATGGGCCCAAGGCAAAGCATAAGTCCCTATTTGGAAACTTTGAGACCCTGAGTTCAAACTTCAATACTATCTCTTGAAAAAATTGATTCTTCCCCTCTTAGTTTTCCTCCTATGTGATAAAATTGAATTCAGAATCATAGATGATGAGGCTAGCAATGATAGCAGCTCACATTTGTTACATTTTTGTAGTATTCCACATCTTGTTTTAGGTACTTTGAACATGTTACCTGTTTTAATTCTGTGATTGACTCTGAAAAAGCTCCATTATGCCCATTTTTGCAATAGTCCGGAGTGGTTTGTATCCTAATAGCCCATGATTTCTGTGTGGTCAGGTAAAGGAACCTGGAGCCCTCATTTTTGTAGGCTAACATTTTTTTTTTATCTTGAGTTGCTCTCTTTATGGTCTGACTATTATATGAACAAGTCCTCTTTAATTAGCATTGTGAATATAAACCTTTGTGTAACCAAAAAACACATTCACAGTTCTCAAAACTGTGATGAAGGGGCTCTGTGCATGTGGAGTTAGCACTCACCTTATGTGAGGTTCTGTTTTTTTAGCTCAGGCAGTCATACTATCACACCCATTCCTTTTGCTCACTAAGTTGGTTTTCTTGGACATCACCTTACTTGATGATAAATATCTTGTTCCCTTTTCATGTGGACGCATTAAATTTTAAACACTGAGTTATATAAAGTATTTGCTTGGGGGGGGCTGGGAAGGTGGCTCAGTGGTAGAGCGCTTGCCTTGCATCCATGAGGCCCTGGGTTTGATTCCTCAGCACCACATAAGCAGAAAAAGCTGGAAGTGGCTTTGTGGCTCAAGTGGTAGTGAGCTAGCCTTGAGCTGAAGAGCTGAGGGACATCGCCCAGGCCCAGAGTTCAAGCCCCACAACCAACAAAAGAACAAAAAGTATTTGCTTGGAATGGGATATGTTATAAAGAATTAAAATTTCAGCTGGAGCTGGGCGTTGGTGGCTCACACCTGTAATCCTAGCTACTCAGGAGGCTGAGATCTGAGAATCACGGTTCAAAGCCAGCCCAGGCATCTCCACTAAACCACTAGAAAACCAGAAGAGGCGTTGTGGCTCAAGCGATAGAGTGCTTGCCTTGAGCTGAAGAGCGCAGGGACAGCGCCCAAGCCCAGAGTTCAAGCCCCATGTGGACCCCCAAAAAAGAAATCTCAGCGGGGCGCTAGTGGCTCACACCTGTAATCCTAGCTACTCAGGAGGCTGAGATCTGAGAATCACGGTTCAAAGCCAGCCCAGGCATCTCTACTAAACCACTATAGAAAACCAGAAGTGGCGCTGTGGCTCAAGCGATAGAGCGCTTGCCTTGAGCTGAAGAGCGCAGGGACAGCGCCCAAGCCCAGAGTTCAAGCCCCATGTGGACCCCCAAAAAAGAAATCTCAGCGGGGCGCTAGTGGCTCACACCTGTAATCCTAGCTACTCAGGAGGCTGAGATCTGAAGATCACAATTCAAAGCCGCTTGTGGCAGGAAAATCTTAACCACCAGTTAAGCCACCACTGTGGCTTAAAGAGCACTAAGAAAGCTCAGGGACAGCACCTAAGTCCTGAGTTCAAGCCCTGTGACTGGCTAAGAAAAAAAAAAAAGAATCAAAATCTCACTGTATCCACACAATCTGCAATTAAGGTGATGAGGAAATACTTGCTTACCCTTTGAAGATAACTCACCAAGGAATTGTTATCTTAAAAGATATGAAGAGTCTTAGTTTTGGGGTTAATTTTTAGGTTCTTACTGATTTTCTTCCGTGAGCCTCATCAAACAAAGGAAATATACAGGAAAACCCAAATATAGCACTAGTGGTGGTGAAGAGTCAGGCTCTGAAGACCATAGAGAGTCCTAATGCACATATGATTCTTGGACTGGACAGCTCTGTCTGAGATTTCCAAGCTGAACCATACTAGTGTGAAGAAGGTGCCTTCTTGTTCTTGCTTTTGTGCACAAGGTGTTGCTGCTGCCAGCTTGTTGTCTTTGTCACCTCTGAGCAGCTGTGGCTTTTCTAAAAACCATGCATGACCTAAGTTTTAATTCCATATCCTCAAAGGAAAGCAGCCCTGACCACTTCTCAGTTTCTGTTTGGACCTACTTCTCTAAATTACTTTTAAGGCTTGCATGTGTCCATGGGACCTTCATCTATCCTGCTCTTTCCCACCCTGCCGCCATCATCTGGTGGTTTTTTTTTTTTTTTTCTCTAATCCCAAGCCCCCTTTGCTTGCCTACCTATGTTCTATATTTGCAGATGGTGGTTTTCAAACTGTCTTGAAGCAGTGACAGACTTAGGGGCTTCAAGTACTGGCTTTGATTAAGTAGTAAAGATGAGTCAATTCAGAAGAATAAGCTTTTCAAGTATTGCCTCATATAACATCCTTTAAAGAAAACTACATCTGGATATAAATTCTCTCAAATTTTAAAAGGAGCTAATTTTAAAATAGGAGTACACCAACAACTATGGTTTTCCTCATGTGTTCATTTGAGAAGGATTACTCATGAAAGTACAAACAAGAAAATTAATGAATTCTGTTGTTTGTAGTCCTTTCACCAAAACTCAATTTAAAAGCCCAATTTCTAGTTCTGTTACAGACCATGCTTCTAAAACTTGGTTATCATGCTAGTAGCAGGCTTACCAGTGACTCAGGGCTTGTACCATTAGACACTGTGAAGGTTTGACTTAAATTAGCAAACAACCCTTTTTGTTTGCTATGGTAAGTGAGTGAAAAAAAAAAAAAAACACTTTACTAATTTGCCAATTAGTTCTTCCTTGTTGAGATAATCATTCAGTTCTTAACCCGAGTTACACAAAATCCCTCTCATTTTTGCAATTCAGTATTGATTTTTTTTCTTAATTTTTTTTGCCATGGGCAAATGCTGCTTTACAAAGAATAACATTAAGTGCCCAAAGTCTTAACTGTAACATTTGGCTGAATTTCATAAAACACAGAGCCTGACTAATGAAATGATCCTTATGTTTTCTTTTCTATTATAAATTACTAGAATTTAAAGGTAGTGTTGATTGGAAGTCCTTAGAGAGTTGGAACAGTAGAAAGTAAAGGAGGAATCTAATTTGGCTATTGGAGGCTCAGTGCCTTTGGGGCTCTAATTATACAGCCTTCTAGATACAATGTTAACTTGCACTGGAATCCTTTTGTTTCTGAATTCAGAAATGATTCTTAACATCTACTATTCCAAGAGAGACATGTTTTAGAACTGCCATCTAGAACAGTTAACACCCTGTCTTTGTTTTAGAACATGTCTTTGTCTTAGCGCTTTAATGCTGTCCTTTCTTACACTGGTGTTCCTTCCTGTCTTTTTTTCTTCCTCTGTCCCTTTCCCTCTTTTCTTTTTCTTCTGCTTTCCTTCTTTCTATCTCCCAGATCTGAAAGATTTTCAGAACAATAAACATAGATACTTGCTAGCCTCTGAGAATCAACGTCCTGGCAATTTTTCCACAGCATCCATGGGGTCCCTTACTTCATCTCCATCTTCCTGCTCACTCAATAGTCAGGTGGGCTTATCATCTGTGACCAGCATTCAGGAGCGGATCATGTCTACACCGGGAGGAGAGGAAGCCATTGAGCGTCTAAAAGTAAGTAATCATTCATGTTAATACAAGGTGGCTCTGCAAGGCAGAGTTGGGACTAAAAATCAACGAGGTTTTGGCTTAGCTTGTGGAGAACATTTTAACTCCTTCTAAACTTTCTGCTTTGTAAGTTAACTTCTTTTCACCAGACTGTTTGGGTCTGAGCTGGCCAGAGTTGAGAGGGTCATAGGTTGGCCATGCAAAGTACTTGATGGGTTAGCACGTACATTGATTTTAGAGTAATTTATAAATATAAATTATGTACTTAAGAGATTTTTTTATTTTATTTTTTTGCCAGTCCTGGGGCTTGAACTCAGGGCCTGGGTGCCGTCCATGAGCTTTTTTGCTCAAGCTAGCACTGTGCCACTTGAGCCACAATGCCACTTCTGGCTTTTTCTGAGGAGTTAATTGGAGCTGAGAGTCTCACAGACTTTCCTGCCCAGTCTAGCTTTGAACCATGATCCTTAGATCTTAGCTTCCTGAGTAACTAGGATTATAGGCATGAGCTACCGACACCCAGTTGAGATTTCATTTTAAAAGCAATACCAGTAAGGAAACACTTTGGTTTCATTTGAAAATGGAATTTTGTAGAGAGCCATTCTTCTGTTAGTAAAATTAATATATAGTTCAAAGCAAGTTGGAACATTCGAGAAGTCTGCATTAGGTTTACTCCAGTATGTGAAATGATATCTTCTAGAAGTTCACAGAAAGCCTTGACACTGTCTCGATTAGGGTTGAGGAAGGGCTTTTTTCTGTGCTGATACGCCTGGAGCCTCAGAGCCAGTGGGGCTGCTGTTGCAGCTACCAGCCTGTGGCATTTCACTTTGCTGCCCAGCCTCTTACTACTGTATCAGGTTGACTTGCCTTTTCCATGAATGAGTCAGAAGAAGTAAAGCCTTCCAGTACACAGCTTCTTCCTTGCTCCGTGTCTGCAGTAAGAGTAGACACCGAGAGTAGTGTTACCTAGGAGCTGAGATAAGCTGCCCAGGATCCTGCCAACCATTGGATAGCATCGAGGACATCAAACATTTTTCTTCTATTTGTCGCCCCCAGGAAAGCTAGCTCAATCCAAACCTTTCAGTTTTTTTGTGCCAGGCCAAGGGAGAGGAGGATTTTTTTTTTTTTTTTTTAAAGATCTGGAAAGTGCCTGGTATTAGTGGCTACCCCTAGTAATTATAGTACTCAGGAAGCTAAGATCTAAGGATTATGGTTCAAAGCCAGCCAAGCAAAAAGCCAGATGCAGAGCTGTGACTCAAGTGGTAGAGCACCAGCCTTGAGCAAAAAGCTAAAGCACAGTGCCCAAACCCTAATTTCAAGCTCCCATCCTGTCAACAGAAGAAAAAAGAAGTGAGAAGTTAGGCTGGGGATATGACTCAAGTAGTAGAACATCTGTTTGGCAACCAAGAGGCTCTGAGTTGAGACCCTGGTGTTGCGGGGGGATTATTGCCGCCATGCTTCCAGACAAGTGCTTGTCTCACCTTTGCCCTCTGTCCCTCGCCTTGCTGCTTACTCAAGGGCGATGGATAATACTGACTAGTGATTCAAAGGCTTGGTCTTAATATGTCAGGTATTTTCACTTCGGGTTTTATGGGAAGACTGTTCTTCCTATAGAATTCTTCTGCCTTTTCTTGATTAATTCCCTTAGCATTTTATTTGCACTAGGAAAATAAACACTAAAATCTGATGAAGTAGTTTTAAGAGGAGGAAGCGGGATATGGAGGAAAGTAAGTGATGGGGGGCGGGGTTTGATTAGGATAGATTATTCACATGTGAGGAAATATCACAACAAAATCCTTACCCTTTGTACAATTAAAGTTTGCTAATAAAAGTGTCTAACTTAAAAAAAAAAAAAAGATGCTTCAGAAACAAACCAAGTGATTTTGTTTCTTCCTTTAAAAAAAAATAAATAGCTGAGAGCCGGTGGCTCACACCTATAATACTAGCTAAGATCTGAGGATCGCTGTTCAAAGCCAGCCCCGGCAGAAAAGTCGTGAGAGTCTTATCTCCACTAAACCACGAGAAAACCAGAAATGGCTCGCCTTGAGCTGAAGAGCTAAGGGGCAGTGCCCAGGCCCAGAGATCAAACCCTCAGCCAACTAAATATATATATAAATAAATGAATAAATGAATGAATGTAAGTGAAGTTCTGAAAGGCCTGGCAAAAGGAGAGGGGATGAGAAATCTTTCCATTTAAGATTACATGCTACAAGGTAACTTCTGCTGTTGGTGAAGTTGACTCTGAAGTTTTACTAAAGCCCTTATTGGAGCCCTGTTGAATTTTCTCATATATAAGCTTCATTGGCCACACTGTGCAAGACTCTGTTCAGAGCTAGTTTGAGAAATAGAGGGCTGTATGGAAAGGAGAAGTGAAACCTCCCACCTCTAGAGGTTTAATATAAAATGTTCCTTTTCTTTGGGGATTTCAAATCTTATTATTTGTTTTATTAAGCCTTAGTATGCAAATGTGATTACTCCTTCTTTTACCATTTATTTTGTAATCAAGGAGAATTTTCTCACTAACTGCCAAGAGGAGTGAACTGAAAATAATATTAGATATTAAGAGTCAAGACATTAACTTCCAAATAATTTCTAACGATTAATGCTGCCATCATTTAGGGAGTCCCTTGCCCACTTCTCTCCCATTAAAGCAAAACTCTGTTAATCAGCAAATAAATTTCTGTGCTTATATTTTTCTTTAAGCCAACATAATGAAATTCTGTATTTCCTCTAGCTTTATTCTGAAGACAGAGAATGGTTTTTTTTAGTTTTGTGTTCATTGTAACAGTGATTCACTGAAGCATAAGTACTTAGCCCTTTTATTTTTGTGAATGGGGAGAAATCCTTGCAGGCATTTTAATGATGCAGACATAAACATCACGCATCCAGAGTGCAGGGCAGAGGTTTTGTGATAGAAGCTGCTGAGGCTGGGCTGTGCCAGAGAAAATATTGTAATGGAAAACAGCAAGAGTGGAGGTTGATTTCTTTTCCTCACATTTTGTTTCCGTTGCTTCTTTTTACTTCAAAAAAGATCAGTTGTCAGTATACTGCTGTTATGGGGGGAGCTGCTGTTGCTGCTTCTTCTTTCACTGAAGAGCCTATTTCCATATGCAAGACAAATAGCTTGATCCTCTACAAACCTAGCTGGCAAAAGAGAGTGATACATAATTGCTTCTGTTTTAAGTCACAACTCACACTGAGTTGTAACTATTGTGTCCCTGATTTGGTTTCTTGTTCAATGAGGTTTTAAACTTGTAGCTGTAGCCACAGTGCGCTGGCTCTAGGGTTTATAGTCTGGCGTCAGTCAGTACTATGAGTGCCACTCTAAGGCTTAGCCTATAAATATCCACACATATCCATTTCAGAAGCAGAGGTCAGGGCAGATGCTGTGCTGAGCAGTCAGAGGGCTTCATACTTGGAACTTACTTTATAAAGCATGCTGTGTTCTGTACAGCAAAACCTTGGCTATCCGATGGCTTCAAGGAATGTTCCATGTAGTAAGTACTTAATCTTTTTGAGTATCAAAACTTCAAATGCCATTTTTTCATGGAAGGATTTCTGATTTGTCCTTTTGACTTATGTCCCGAGCCTTCAGGATTAAATTGTTATAGTTGTTTAAATATAATTTATTAACCAGTGCTATGTGCTTGCCTTGCGTGCAGGAGGCCCTGGTTTGATTCCTCAGCACTACATAAGCAGAAAAAAGCCAGAAGTGGTGCTGTGGCTCAAGTGGTAGGGTGCTAGTCTTGCTGAAGAGCTGAGGGACAGCCTCCATGACCGACAAAAAAAAAAAAATGTTATTGTGAGACAAAAAAATGAATGGATAGCTTTGAGGAACTTAAATCTGTTATAGATGTGTTTGTCAGAAAAAAAATCTCACATTTTGGAGTATTAATATTACCCTTCTTCCACTTGCATGTACACACATACACAGATGTACTAACATTCAAGTGTTTTTATTAGGATTTGGAGGAATTATATTGTTTGGGGCTGACATGATTTTAGTCCCAGTCTTTATGATCCTTACCTTACATATTAGAGAAGCAAAAGACTTAACATAAATTATGCTTTATATTCTTACAAGGACAATCTGCTTCTTCCCTTCTTAGATATTGCATGCTAAATTAAATGACTCTGCCACTTTAAATGTGTTCTTCCATCCTTAGGAATCAGAGAAGATCATTGCTGAGTTGAATGAAACCTGGGAAGAGAAACTTCGTAAAACAGAAGCCATCAGAATGGAGAGGTCAGGAGGTTAAAATATGGAAATATTTTAAAGTTTTCTAGAGAATTTGGCTCATGGGTTGGGAAGGTGGCTCAGTGGTAGAGCTCTTGGCCTTGCATGCCTGAGGCCCTGGGTTCGATTCCCCAACACCACATAAGCAAAAAGAAAAAAAGCCAGAAGTAGAGCTGTGGCTTAAGTGGTAGAGCGCTAGCCTTGAGCTGAAGAGCTGAGGGACAGCACCTAGGCCCAGAGTTCAGGCCCCACGACTGGAGGGGGGGAAAAAAAAAGAAAGAATTTGGCTCACTTTTATAGTTTAAAAAAGATGAACTAGAAGTTAAAAACAACTTCTGTTCCTAAAGCACACACACACACTCATACAATACACATAGTCACACACAAAAGTCACTCCTGCTAGTGACTTGTGACCAGTCATTCACACTTTGAAGTGAAATCTGTATATTTAAATGCTCTAGACAGTCACTTGCTTAATAGTTAACATACTGCCTCTTACTGAAGGTCCATAAAAGCAGAACATATTGAGAAAGCAAGCTCTTCATTTGTAAAAAGTAGACTAACATTGACAGTGGCCCAAACCTAAAAGCTGTTCTGACTACTGTCTTACAGAGCTACCTTTTCTACACCTATTTGGTAAGAGGTATAGTTATGGATGCAAATTTGTTCTATTTTCAGCTCTACTCCCTAGTTATAATCTAAAAATGACACTTTTTTCCATGTACAATTTATTGAAATTTGACACATGCATATAGTGAGGACGTCATCACTGTAGTGAAGATCTAGAGCATTTCCAGTTTTCTGGAAAGTTCTCCGTGGCAATTTATGATTCTCTCCAAGGCATTGACTTGATTTCTCTTTTTGTTGTTTTACTGTTCTTAAACTACATAAAGATTGCTTCAGTACACAAATATTTTTTTATTTGATTTCTTAGTCTATGTGCAACATTTTTGGAATTAATTCATGTTTTGTGTAGAAACAATATAGTGCTTTTTTAATTTCTGAGGATAATTTTGTTGTTTGAATAATATATCACCATTTGTCCATTAATCTGTTTATGGGTATGTGTGTCAGTGGTTTTAAAATATGCTCCTTTGTGTGAGTGTATGAGTGTTTGTGCACTGGGATTGGATGATTGCATGCTGTCTCTTAGCTCTAAAAATGATAGTTTTGTTATTGGAATCAATACGCAGTTAAAAAGTATTAGTACTGCCGGGCGCTGGTGGCTCACGCCTGTAATCCTAGCTACTCAGGAGGCTGAGATCTGAGGATCGCGGTTCAAAGCCACCCCGGGCAGGAGAGACCATGAGACTCTTATCTCCAATAAACCACCAGAAAACCGGAAGTGGCGCTGTAGCTCAAGTGGTAGAGCGCTCGCCTTGAGCTGAAGAGCTGAGGGACAGCGCCCAGGCCCAGAGTTCAAGCCCCACAACTGACAAAAAAAAAAAAAGTATTAGTACTGGGTTTGGAAGTATGTCTCAGTGGCTAGAGAGCTAGCCAATGAGCAAGAACATCAGCTACTGAGTTCTAGTTCTGGTCTTGTATTGTCCCCTACCTCCCCCCACGCCCCCCAAAAAAGGCAGGACTAAGTTCTAATGTATTGATGGATTAAGAATAAAAGGAAGAGTTTAAAAAGTTTATTTTCATGTTTTAAACTAGAATTACTGAACAAAAATGGTGGTAGACATAGAAACACAACATTTGAGAAAATCATATTTACAGATTATACTCCATTTACTCAATTTATGTTCCCCTTTTTGGGGTGTGCGCATGGGGTGGACCTGGGATTGATTCCATGGCTTCACCAATGCTGAATGAGTTTGTTTGTTTTGCCAGGCCTGGTGCTTGAACTCAGGGCCTAGGTGCTGTCCCTGAGCTTCTTTTGCTCAAAGCTAGCACTCTACCACTTGAGCCACAGTGTCACTTCTGGCTTTTTCTGCTTATGTGGTGCTGAGGAATCGAACCCAGGGCCTCATACATGCAAGGCCAGCAAGCACTGTACCACTGAGCCACCTTCCCAGCCCCTGAATGAGTTTTCTACTGCTGAACTCCACCCATAACTTGAGAGAAATTTCTTATCAGAGTGATTATACAGGAACATACTCTGTTTTGAATATGCTGTTTCTGTTAATAAAATAATGATTTCTCATTAATTGTAAGCACCCATTGCACATTTGCATTACCAACTCTATCCATGGCCAATTGTTTTGTTTTGCCTGCTTTATTTTAAAGTTCACACTAGATAGAACTATTTGACATGTAGGTGTTGGTACTCTATATACTTGTTTTATTTTATGTCAATTTCCTTCAGGGAAGCTTTGTTGGCTGAGATGGGAGTTGCCATTCGCGAAGATGGAGGAACACTGGGAGTTTTCTCACCTAAAAAGGTAAGAAACCATGTTGTGAAACTCAGTCAGAAACCTTGTGTGTAAGCTCGTGTGCACACGCGCACACACACACGGATGATGGATCATTTTCACAGTTTAGTAGTTTTTCCTTGGAGGAAGGAAGATCGAGGGAGAGTGACAAGATTTGTCTGATGAGGGCATGACAATAAAGCCCTCTTGTACAACTAATAGATGCTAATATGAAACTTGCATTTATTCAGACAGGGCGTGTGTGTGTGTGTGTGTGTGTGTGTGTGTGTGTGTGTGTGTGTGTGTGTGTGTGTGTGTGTGTGCGTGCGCGCGCGCGCGCCAGTCCTGAATGCTATCCCTGTGCTTTTTTTGCTCAAGGCTAACACTCTGTCACTAGAGCCATATCTCTACTTCCAGCTTTTTTAGTGCTTAATTGGAGTTAAGAGTCTTAAGAACTTTTTTTTTCCTGGGCTGGCTTCAAACTTTGATCCTCAACTAACACTCAGTTGTTGTTACAGTTTTGATAAAATTAGATTATGTCATTGTGTGCTTCTTTCTGAAGGGGTTTTATAATAACTTTGTGTGTTAAAACCTGGGAAAGGGGCTGGGAAGGTGGCTCAGTGGTAGAGTGCTTGCCTCGCACGCATGAGGCCCTGGGTTCGATTCCTCAGCACCACATAAGCAGAAAAAGCCAGAAGTGGCACTGTGGTTCAAGTGGTAGAGTGCTAGCCTTGAGCTGAAGAGCTGAGGGACAGCGCCCAGGACCAAAGTTCAGACCCCACGACTGACAAAACACAAAACAAAAAACAAAAACTGGGAAAGCCAAGTGCTGGTTGCTTACCCCTGTAATCCTAGCTACTCAGAAGGCTGAGATCTGAGGATTGTGGTTCGAAGCCAGCCTAGGCAGAAAAGTCCATGAGACTCATCACACTGAAAACTGGAAGATGTGCTGTGGCTCAAAGAAGTAGGATACTATCCTTGAGCAAGGAGCTAAGAGCTCAGGGACAGTGCCCAGGCCCTGAGTTCAAGCCCCACAGCTGACAGAAGGAAAAAACAAAATTGGGAGAAGGGATGGGGATTTGCCCATTTTACTTTAAGGTCCTACTCAGGAAAGGGAGACACACTATTGACCACATCTAACTCCATTTTAAAACCTGTTTTCTTAGGCCCCTGATGGGACTTGAAAGATTGATGAAAGGGCTTTGACTTACCAAACTAATGGAATTCTTTAACTACAAAGTTGAATGCCAAGCTGGGCGCTGGTGGCTCACGCCTGTAATCCTAGCTACTCAGGAGGCTGAGATCTGAGGAGCGCGGTTCAAAGCCAGCCCGGGCAGGAGAGACCGTGAGACTCCTATCTCCAATAAACCACCAGAAAACCGGAAGTGGCGCTGTAGCTCAAGTGGTAGAGCGCTCGCCTTGAGCTGAAGAGCTGAGGGACAGCGCCCAGGCCCAGAGTTCAAGCCCCCGCCTGACCAAAAAAAAAAAGTTGAATGCCAGTGAAGATGTTGTGGTTTTACTAATTTCTGTTTCATCATCTCCTTTGATTCAACTTTCATTTTCTCACATTTACTAGTACTGTCTTGAATGGATTTTGGCCCCAAGATCATGTGATTTCTTTTTGCATTTCACTGGGGTCTTTTCCCCAAAGAAGGTTGTTTTTTAAAATATTTTTAAAAAACATTAGAGTTAGATAAAGAATATTTTCAACATGTTTACGTTGTTGAATATCAATTTAATTTTTTTTTCTTTAAGGGAGAGACTAATAAACTAAAAACAAAACTGTGACTATGAAAGAATTAATGCAAGTTTTGTAAGGAAATGGTGTAGGGGGGGGTATTTAATGAATCTAAATGATTTATAAACCTGAAAATTCAAGAATCTTTATGAATTTTTCATTTTTTCAGGCATCTACAAACCTATCAGAAAATCAGTCTGTTTTAGCTTTTCTTTGTGAATGCACAAAGACCTTATCTAGAACCAGCTCTTGTTCTTTATCCCAGAGTTCATGTTTTTAAACAGGCTGGATTGGTACAGTTCAGGGAGGCCTAAAGAGAGTGTTTTCTCTTACAGAATTACAAACAGTAATGAAAGTCCCTGTGGGGGTTCTGAGAAGCCTGGCTTCCTGAGAGCACCCCTTCTTACCACTCTTCCTGATACTTTGCTCCAAATTAATAGATAATCTGTAACCTTTTTCAGACCCCACATCTTGTGAACCTTAATGAGGACCCACTAATGTCCGAATGCCTGCTTTATTACATCAAAGATGGAATTACAAGGTATATTTTTGTTCTGGTGTGGTACAATGTTTTCTTTTCTCTTACCTAGTTAATAACTAAAGGGAAGTTTGTTGTTTTTTTAAAATCATGATTATACTGTTTCTCACGTCTGAAGTAGTTACAAATTATTATTTTACTCATTCTAAATTTTGTAAATAGAACCAGTTAACACTCAATTTTTCTCTAGAAGACCCGAAATAAGATTTTTTCCTTTTGATAGCATATGTGAGGTCATTAGGGATTTAACTCATGCATGTCTTTTTGTTACGCTGTATGACTTACATCAGTGTACCATTCTCTTTGGTTCTTACTCTCATGCAGAGAAGTTGATCACATACAAGAATAGAATTTGTAGTCCAAAGCTTCTGATACAAAAAGCCGATACCTTTTTTTGCACATACCAAAGGGTATTCTTTGGGAGAAAGAGGCTCATTGTTTGTAAGTGCTTTTTGTGTCTGAATTTCCCTGGGAAACACTTTTATTTTGTGTTCAGGGTTGGCCAAGCAGATGCTGAGCGGCGCCAGGACATAGTGCTGAGTGGGGCCCACATTAAAGAAGAGCATTGTATCTTCCGGAGTGAGAGAAACAACACTGGTGAAGGTGAGAGTTCCTGCTTTGAGCTCCTCGGGCAACTTTTTCATTTTGTACTATGAGAAACTCTTAATACTTGGTATCCCTGTCTGTTAATGGTACTTTCTTTTACAACATAATACTGAAAAACCTGGGCTGCTTATAAATGCAGAGACCAACATCACCACTTTACATGAAAATAGCATGGACAAAGGGAGCCTTTTGTTACTGCCAGGAACTGAGCAGGACATACGCTCATTAGGATTGGTTTTGAATGCTAATTATTTAGTAGAAAAGTAAGAGAAAAATTTTCTGGGTAATAGATTTTAAAGAACCTCAAGTCTTAACTCAAGAAAATGTAGTCATATTGTCATATAATTAACGAAAGAGCAACAATCTAACAGTATTTGGAGTTTAGTCACCAACTCCTTCTGTATATACTTTTTCCTTAGCCAAAATATTATTTTAATCTTTAGCTTTTGGGTATTATTTGTCTATCCCATACTTAAGATTTATGATGATTTTCAGTTCTATTGACTGAACTATTAGGTGGTGTTGAAACTAATATTTTGTCTTCTTCTGAAGTTTGTCTGATTAATTCAATATTTCTATCTTAGCCATAGCCTCAAGTAGTCTCTTATACGGATCCTAGTTCTGGTAAGATGAAAAGAACTGCCTTAGAGACATTCCAACCACTTGTTTGATTTGCTGGAGCAGTCTCTTCTATTTACCATGTACCCTGACAGTCAGGTGCTTTCAATTACGTGATTCCATTGGTCTGTGGAGATGACATTAGTTTGTGTTCCTCCTAGTTATCGTGACTCTAGAGCCCTGTGAGCGCTCAGAAACCTATGTGAATGGCAAGAGGGTGGCCCAGCCTGTCCAGCTGCGCTCAGGTGAGACTGGGAGAGAGCGGAAATTGTTAGCAGGGTGTATACATGAAAAACTCTAACCTTTAATTCTTTGTGTAAAGGCCAATATGATAGCATTAGCATTATTCTTCTTGTACAACTTGAAACCTGTCTTTCTGTACATCTTGCTCTGTAGCCATAGTTGTGGTAGGCTGGGCTTCAACTTGCTGTCTTCCTGCCTCAGCCTCCAAGTATTGGGATACCAGGCATGTGTTACCATACCTGGTGAGAGTGAGGTTACTGTATTAGACCCTATGCAGTTAAAATATGATTTCCTAGCCAAGTGCCAGTGGCCTGTAATCTAAGCTACTCAAGAGGCTGAGCCTTGGAAGATCTCAGATCAAAAGCAGCCTACACAGAAAGTTCACTAGACTTTATCACCCATTAGCCAGCAAAATGCTAGCTGGAGGCATGACTTGAGTGGTATAGTACCTGTCTAATATATAAGATCCCCCAACTTCAAACACCCTCTTCACCCCCCCCACCCCACTCTTCTCCAATAAAAAGATTTTGAAGGCCAGGTGCTGATGGCTCACGCCTGTAATCCTAGCTACTCAGGAAGCTGAGATCTGAGGATCATGGTTTGATACCAGCCTGGGCAGGAAAGTATGTCAGACTTTTTTTTTTTTTTAGTTGGTTGTGAGGAACTTAACTCTAGGCCTGAACTCTGTCCCTCAACTCTTCGGCTCAAGGCTAGTGCTCTACCACTTGACCCACAGCCCACTTTCAGGTTTTTCTGCTTATGTAGTGCTGAGGAATTGAACCCAGGGCCTCGAGCATGCAAGGCTAGCACTCTACCACTGAGCCACCTTCCCAGCCCATCAGACTCTTATCCCTAATTAACCACCAGAAAACTGGAAGTGGCACTGTGGCTCAGAGTGATAGAGTGCTAGCCTAGAGTGCTAGCATTCAAGCCCTGAGCTCAAGCCCCTGCTGATGACCAAAAACAAAAACAAAAACAAAAAAAAAGATTTTGAGGGAAAAATGGGGGGAGAGCAAGAGAAGGTATGACATTGTCTAAAAAGGAATGCACTCTTTATCTGACTTATGTAACTAACCCCTCTGTACATCACCTTTATAATAACAACAGAAAAAAAAAAAGATTTGTTAGAGCAAGTGTGGTAGCTCAGTGGTAAAACACTTGTTTGGTTTGTACAAGGCCTTATTTAATCCCCCCAAAAAAGATTGTGTGCGTGTGTGCATGTATGCGTGGGTGGGGGGGGGGGGGACTGAAGCCATCCCTAGCCTTTTTTTTTTTTCTTTTGCAGTACCAGAAATTGAACTCAGGGCCTTGTGCTCATCAGGCAGGTGCTCAAGAGCTAAATCCCCAGCCCTTTTTCTGTTGGTTATTTTCACAGTAGGTTCTTGCTATATGCCTGGCCCCCTACTGTGCTTTCCCCTGGCCTTGAGGATGTTTGATTTTCACCCCTGTACCACTGTGCTGCCCTGCTAGTTGGGATAACAGGAGTGTGCCATTGTGCCCAGCTTTTTATTATTGGTAAGATGGTGTCTTGAAGCTTTTTGCCCAGGCGGGCGTTGAATTGCTAGTCTATTGATCTGAGTCTTCTGAGTAGCTAGGTTTACCACCATAAACCACTGCAATAGCTTATATATTTGTTTTTGAGATAGGGTCTCAGTAGCATTGCTTAGTTGGCTTTGAACTCGCCATTCTCCTGCCTCTATCTCCTGAGTAGCTGGAGTCACAAGTGTGCACTTACAAAGGGAAAGAGAAGAAAAAAGTTTCTTTAAAAAACATAAAAATAAGCCAGGCACCCGTGGTTCACGCCTGTAATCCTAGCTACTCAGGAGGCTGAGATCTGAGGATCACGGTTCAAAGCCAGCCTGGGCAGGAAAGTCTGTGAGACTCTTATCTCCAATAAAGTACTAGAAAACCAGAAGTGGCCCTGTGGCTCAAGTGGTAGAGCACTTGCCTTGAGCTGAAGAGCTGAGGGACAGCACCCAAGCTCTGAGTTCAAGCCCCACGGCCAACCAAAAAAAAAAAACAAAACATGAAAATAATAAGGGGCTGGGAAGGTGGCTCAGTGGTAGATCGCTTGCCTTGCATGCATGAGGCCCTGGGTTCGATTCCTCAGCACCACATAAGCAGAAGAAAAAAAAAAATCAAGAAATCCTGCTTATGTTTCTTTCTAGGAAACCGGATTATCATGGGTAAAAACCATGTTTTTCGTTTTAACCATCCGGAGCAAGCACGGGCTGAGCGGGAGAAGACTCCCTCTGCTGAGACCCCCTCAGAACCTGTGGACTGGACGTTCGCTCAGAGAGAGCTTCTAGAAAAGCAAGGAATTGATATGAAACAGGAGATGGAAAAAAGGTAATGCACAGTAATTAGGCTGAAAACTGAAAACATGACTTAACAACAACATTAGCAGCATTCATGAGATGGCTCACTGTTGCACAATTTACAGCTTCTTTCTTGTGTGTTGTTTTGGTTCGTTTTCACCTGTAGGCTACAGGAAATGGAGATCCTGTACAAAAAGGAGAAGGAAGAAGCGGATCTTCTTTTGGAGCAGCAGAGGCTGGTAGGATTCTGTCCTGAACCTGCTCCCTATTAGGAAAGGGCAGTTGCTCCCACACCCTCCCTCCCTGTTCCACGGATGAGCTCTTCAGGCTCTCATTTGTATCTTGCACTGTTCTTTCATTTCCTCAAAGGAGGGAGGACTAACTTCTGTCTCCTAGCAGCCTTGGTTTGAAAAACTGTCCATAGAGGTACTATTTTGTGCCTTTTATTTCTTAGTCAGTTTTTTACTTCTATCACAACCAAGTGCTTTTTGAGGAAATAGGGCTATAGGGCTTTTATATACCTTTGCCTCTTCATAGTGATTTTTGAATTCACCTCAGTAGTGGTCCTTCTAATGATAGGAAGATTTGAATGGAATTTGGTGGGTGTTTGCCTTGGTTTTGTTTCTGATCACCTGATAGTACTAATTCTCTGCTCTTGGGCTGACTTGGGGATTGTTCTTGTGCTGGCAGATTTGGTGGGGTTTTTGTAAGATAAACTGTTTCTAAAAGTGGTGCTGCACAGTTGCATGTGTTAATCCTTTCTGTTCCCCTGCATGGAGTCTGAATTCTCAATGAGGCTCTCAGTGGCATGTGTGGTAACAGTGGAAACAGGGACTGCGTTCCCACCTCATACAGGAGACCAGAACTGGGAAACTCCCGTCTCTGAGAAAGGATTTAGTGAGCAGCTGGAAAGTCAATTTAGGGTCCAAGCAAATACTAATGTGTAGTAGCATTTTATAATGCTGCTTAATAAAAATTTGAGTTGTATAAATAAATAAATTGCTTTGTTAGTAGATTTTTCCCTTAAAACCAATCACTTTTGGTTAACAAAGCCCTGATTATAAAAAGTTCCTCAGAATTCATTTGGTATTTAAGGAAGAAGTATAACTTTGGTCACTGTGGATGCAGTAGAAAGGAAGTTCTCATTTTTTAAGATTCATGGCTATCTTTTAAGATAAAGGGATATTAGGGAGAAAGCTTAGATTCTGGCTTCTTTTGGGATAAAATATAGAGTGTAAACTTGCACAGCCATGCACTGGAGAAGAAAGGGACAGTTGCACAATGGACCATGAAAGCCAAGAACTGAAAGAGCAGAAGCAGCCTTTCCCAGGCAACTCAGGGCTCAGGCTTGGCAGTGGGTTAAGCCAGTTCACTTGTTCTCTTGGATGTTATATTAAAGCCCCCCCCCCCCTGCAAACTATGGATTATTAGGCCAAATCAAGTGTTTGAGTCAAGATAATGTCAGCTTTACAGATAGAATCATCCTAGAGGCTCACTTGGCATTACTTTCAATGAAAACGAAGATTTACCTACCATGTGATTAGGGCTTGACAGATTTGTTACACATGAAGGGACCTTTTATCTTAATGATGTAGTATGATCTAATAACATGCCTCTGACGATCATGAGAGATCAAAGAGGACAGGTATAATTAGGCTGTGTTTATTATTAAGAGTAATGCCTTGTATTTATATGGCACTTTATAATTTACAAAGAGCCTGACATCCCTTTTATTTGCTCCTCAAGACAACTCACTTTGGTAGGTGTGTTATGTAAGCAAATGTGTAATATTATCTGTAGTTTACAGCTGAGTAAACTAAGGCTAAAAAATGTCCCCTTGCCTTTCTTAAACCACTCGCCAGATTATGTACATGAGGCTTAAACTTGAGTCTTCGGACTTGTTTCAGCATTGTGTCCCTTGGAGCAGTGCTTTTCAGCCACCTGGTAGTCTTCTTAAAATGTAGCTGCTGACTAAGGAGGCCTTGGGTGGGAGCTGTGGTTTTGCATTGCTGGCAAACTCCTAGGTGATGCCAATGCCACCAGTCCTGGGACCACGCTGGAGTAGACATGCAAGAATAATGTTGCCTGGTGCAACATTGATGATCACTCTATGCCCCCAAATAAAACATTGACCAGCCAGGTGGGCTGCCTGCATACCTCTAATCTCATCTACTTAGAAGGCAGAGGATTGAAAGTTCAAGGCTATTCTGGGCAATTTAGAAAGACTTGTCTCAAAAAGAAATTCGTTTTTGAAGAGGGGCAAAAAATTTTTTGTTTCAATAAAAATAAAAGGAGGGGGCGGGTAGGTGGAAATGAAGATGTAGCTTAGTGGCTAAGTACTTGCCTAGCTACCTGAAGCCCTGAGTTTGATCTTTAGTACTGTCAAAAACAAAACAAACTAAAATAAAGTATATTTTTTAAAGAATGCAATGTCTTTGAGACATACTTAATTTCATACATACATGCACACAATCAGGTTCTGGTTATTTGTTCTCTATACCTGAAAGCAAACTAGGATTTCAGCAGTAACTCCTTGCTTTCCTCCCAAAAGTTTAGCATCAGCTGGGCATTGGTGGCTTATGCCTGTAATCCTATCTACTTATGAGTCTGAGATCTGAGAATATGGTTCGAAGTCAGCCCAGGCAGGAAAGTCTGTGAGACTCTTTTATCTCTAGTGAACTACTCAGAAAAAGTCAGAAGTGCCAGGCACCAATGGCTCACGCATGTAATCCTAGCTATTCAGGAGGCTGAGATCTGAGGATCACAGTTCATAGCCAGCCGGGGCAGGAAAGTCTATGAGATTCCTATCCCAATTAACCACCAGAAAACTGGAAGTGGCACTGTGGCTCAAGTGGTAGAATGCTCGCTTTGAGCTGAAGAGCTCAGGTACAGTGTCCCAGCCCAGAGTTCAAGCCCCACAACCAAAACAAAATTAAGGGGGAAAAAGATGTAAAGTTATTGATTATAAGGGAAAAACCTACTCAGGTTTGGTCACTTTACATGTCATTAACTGACTTGTTTTCATTCAATACCAATGCATAATGGCCCTCCTGAAAAAAATGAATGGTTAATTAGAGGTAAGAGTCTCATGGGGACTTTTCTGTGTTGGCTGAATCAGGATCCTTAGTTCTCAGCCTCTTGAGTAGTTAGGATTACAGGAGTGAGCCATCTCCTGGCTCAAATCTTTTTTTCTTTTTCTTTTTCTTTTTTTTTTTTTCTTGTGAGAGAGAACTGATACCTTACATGTGGACATATAAATTTTGCATACAGCATTTTACTTTTAAAACCAATCAGTTTTGGTTAACATAGCCTTGGTTATAAGAAGTCCCTTCAGGGGCTGGCTCAGTGGTAGAGCGCTTGCCTTGCATGCATGAGGCCCTGTGTTCAATTCCTCAGCACCACATAAGCAAAAAGAAAAAAACCGGAAGTGGCGCTGTGGCTCAAGTGGTAGAGTGCTAGCCTTGAGCTGAAGAGCTGAGGGACAGCGCCCAGGCCCAGAGTTCAGGCCCCACAACCGGACCCAAAAAAAAAAAGAAGTCCCTCCAAATTCATTTGAGATTTAAGAAAGAAGTATAACTTCGCTCCAAAGTTAGGACACTGTGAATGTAATATAGGAAGTTCCCATTTGTTAAGATTCATCACTGTCTTTTAAGAGAAAGGGACATTAGAGAGAAAGCTGAGATTCTGGCTTCCTCTTTTGGCATAAAATGTAGCATGTAAACAGCCATGCTCTGTGCTTTGGAGAAGAAAGGGGCAATTGCACAATAGACCATAAAAGCCAAAGACTGAAAGAGCAGAAGTAGCTTTTCCCAGGGCAACTCAGTTCTCAGCTTGGCAGTGGGTTAAACCAGTTCATTTTTTATCTTAGAAATTATAGCAAAAGGAAGTGGCGCTGTGGCTCAAATGGTAGAGTGCTCGCTTTGAGCTGAAGAGATGAGGGAGAACGCCCAGGCCCAGAGTTCAAGCCCCACGACCGACAAAAAAAAGAAAAAAAAAAAAGAAATTATAGCAAAGTATCATGGTCAGTTGGTGGTAGGATAGTTAATGCATTTGAACTATAAAGAGGATATTTTACAAGGTTAACTTGCAGTATTATAAAAAGAAAGGAAATTATAGCCACTTTATTTAGTTTGCATTCTTTTAGACTTAAGTACACTCCTATTTATAGTTTACTCTAGAATTTATTTTTTTTGGGGGAGAGGGGGGTCCAGTCGTGGGGCCTGTCCCTCAGCTCTTCAGCTCATTACTCTAGAATTTAAAAGTATACCTTTATTTTTCAAAAGCCTGATATTAAAGGAATGATTAATAATTTTAATATCCTGAATTTTTATCTTATTTTATCCCTTAGCAATTATAAGAAAGAAAAGAAACCAGCTAAGAAAAAAGTGATAGTTGTTTGGTGGGAAGCCTCAGAGTTTGAATTCTACAAACTCAAGTTTTGGTACACTTGTTTAAAAAGAAAGAAAGAAAACTATCAAGTCAAACATACCTTTATCTCATGTTATTAATGTCACCTTTTGTCACTTAAGATTAGACTAATTCTAATTTTTTTCTTTTGTGCCTCTGAGAATTGAGCCAAAGTCCTATCCTATGTCAGGAAAACACTCAGTGGAGCTACACCTCTAGTAGTCCCCATTTTGGCTCCTTCCTTCCCTCCATCCATCCCTTCTTTCTTCCTTTCCCCTTCTCTCCCTCCCTCCTTCTTTTTCTTATATTAGTTATAAGAAGTAAGGCTGTGGTGGGGTTGGAGCAGGTGTTAGAGTGGCAAGGACTTTGTTGTGACATTTCCACGTGTGTATATAGTGTATCCTAATCAACTTTGTCCCCTTTATCACGCTCCTTTATGCTTTTCCCCCTTTAAAACTATCCAACAGAGTTCATTGTTCTATTTTTACACATGCAGACTATGTCAACCATTTCATTCTCATTTACACGCTTTGTTATACTCCTCCTTCCTCCTAGTACCTGTCTCCTAATAGAGGCTATTTTACTTCCCAAGTGTGTGTGTGGGGGGGTAGGTGTATGTGCACGCGTGTGTGCGTGCACGAGTACGTGTACATGCATGTGCCAATCTTTGGGCTTGAACTCAGGGCCTGGACACTGTTCCTGAGATTTTTTTGCTGAAGGCAGTGCTCTACCACTTGGGCGACTGCTCTGCTTCCTGCTTTTTTGGTGCTTAAATGGAGATGAAAGTCTCAGGGACCTTGCTACCCCTGGCTGACATTTTAAACTGCAAAGT